TATTAATTATGTGTGCTTGTATTCGTAATATTTATTATGAAAATAATAAACGAACAATATTTGATCTCGAAAAAAATCAATATTATAAGATCATTTATGTAATTTATTGATATATTGCAAGATTTTTACTAATTCCACTCTTTCATCTGCTATTTGCAAGAGATTGTTGGAAAATTATATTTTGATTACCAAAGGTTTACTTAATTTTGTTGAGACGCCTTATACAATTTCTTTGACTAATCATCGGTATTGTCTAGCAGGAATATTAACCGGAATATCTTTGTGATCTTGTTCTGAAAATGAAGGCATATATGTACATATATATTTACTCCCGGCGATTTGATATGTTGAAAAGGCGAAGTCTCATTTCAATAATTTGAAACGGGTTAGCAGCGGAAGACCAGCTGCTCAGCGTGGCGGAGATACCGGCTGCTCCTGACTATTTGGCGCAAACAAGTCTTGACTATCATCAATAGAGCTTCGCCGCCAATGGTTGATGTTCCTGTGTCCCTTTTAGTTGGGCATTGACCCTTCTTTTTCGACGTTTTCCAAACCCTTTACATCATTCTTCAGCTTGTTGACAATATTTCTATTGATACTATTATCAGATGAATCGTGGCCTTTCCTTCTCTATTTTCTGTGCTTCCATCAATTTCTTACGGCCAAGATTTCTCAGGATTTCTCGCGCCTTAAGTTTAAGGCAGGTTTAAGTTATTGAAGGACGGATTAAATAATCCGTCCAGACTGAGTATACCAATCTCGCCAAAGAAGTCTCCGACCTTCATTGTTGTGAGTATTCTACCGGTTTTGCTACCTAGTACCTTCAGTATACCATCGGCTATTATAAACATTTCGCGTGCGACTTCGCCTTTCCGACATATCAAATCGCCAAGTAAATATGTGTGCCTTCATTTTCAGAACAAGATCGCGCAGAAATTCCGGTTGACATTCTTGCTAGTCAATACCGATCATTAGTCAAAGAAATTGTATATATTGTCATTTTGTTGGCGTTAATGTTGGAGCATTGTTCATTGTTCCCTGACTGTCTATTCCTAAAAAGTTACATCTCGAATTAACGAAGATATTCATTAATATTATTAAGCATATTATTAAGTGATAAATTATTCTCTCTCTATTATTATAAAGTAAGAAAAAGAAAACTATTTCTTAATACTTTTTTGTACAAATTAACTAGTTAGTTTAACTAGTTAGCTGAACTGATTAGATAGTCTATTTATTTATGAGTGAAAGAGAAAGTGCGATTGCAATAGAATAAGATTACGGCAAATAGATTTGATAATACATATATAATACAAAACAAGTTAATGCAAGGATGAAATGTATTGGATTAAAAAGAAGTGTTTTACGTTGATATATAAGCATGTGCATTTGGAATGATAATAAAAGAAATGTATAATAAAATAAATGTTTGCAATTATTATACTATAAACCCCAAGCAATTATTATTTCATATTTGGTTTGTTACAATCTTTTAAATATACCACGAATTTATAGTAATTTTAATATTACTTTTAATTTTTATTTTTGCTTTTGCGTAAGTAATAGGTATATAGTAAATTAATCGTCGCGGAAACAGCGTATAGTCAAAAATATTTTTATAAGATAATTCTGTGTTTGAATCATACGCCACTATACGCGACATCTAGCTGTGGCACGCGGATCAAGCGTCACACAGTGCTTGCCTGTGTGTGACGTTACGTTTGATCCGCGTGACACGTGCCATAACCTGCTATAATAATAATAATAATAATAATAAACACAATGGACTTTCAAGAGACACGGTAGTGTCTCGCGCCAAGTGAACGCGAAGCGCGAGACCGCACCGTGTATCTTTACGCGAGTCGATGAGTTCCGTGTACCCGAGATTATCGAATCTCATAATAAATGGCTGAATTTATCAACTTTTAAATAGTCTTAATTTAGTTTTATTGTTTAAATTATATTATAAATATGTTTTTGTTTCCTACGTACCCTACGAAGGAAAATATCTCGATGTGAAATTGAAATGTCGAAAATTTTGACATCGGAAATGTTGTCCGTTTCCCGTTTTAAACGACAGACGGTGCTTGCTAGCATATTTTATTTTATATCGATTAGCTGTCAACGTAATCGATTATTAGCTGTCAACGTAATGACATTAGGTAGATAAAAATCAGCGATGGCAAAGGAGGATTTTTGTATCCTGTTAAAAGCAGTCAATGTCTTGAAAGCTCACGGAAAAAGTGTTCGAGAGTCGATTTTGGCTCTAGGCTGTGCTTTGAACTGTCGCTTCTCAAGCAATGCCGAAGAGGATAACGCGAAAATCGCATGCTAAAGCTACAGGTACGCAATTTCTAACTTCGCTAACCAACATAGAAGGAGAGGAGAGCTTTGATGCCAATTTTATATCTCAACAAAATTACCTTTTTAAAAAAAGGAAAAAAAGGCGCCAAGTGTGCAAAAATGAAATGAAAAAATGAAATGAAACAAAAATGAAATGAAATCTTTTTAGATTGCGCCAAATTGTGGAAGGAATATATTTTCTTGCCATATATATA